TCCTTCTAATTTGAAGTCGGCTAATAAATACTGCAAATAATCAAAATACTTGAAATATTATAAATGCTTGAAATAACAGAAATAGTTATAAAATTATTTTAAATGTAATATGGACTTAAAAATAATAAAGAGACCTAGATACTAAAATAGTGTACGCTATTATTTAAACTTCTAACATTATAACATTGAAAACGACTTCATACTGTACAGTACTGATAGCAGAAATTACCTAATTTGTAAAAGCGATTTTGGAGTCTCGATTGGCGGACATTTAATATAATAGAGAGAATAGAGTAATTATAACTAAATTTAAAAACTAATATCGACGCTTAAAATTATTTAAAGGTGGGAAAATTGAGAGAATTCGATAGAATTTCTAACACCATCTTCTTCCTTTGCTTTTAACCAAGTTGTATCGAAATATAGCTGCAGTAAACTTGCACAGGACAAGGCATCATATTTTTTTTAAATTATATTAGGATGACAACGGAGCACACAGTCCACCTGATGGTAAGTGGATGCTGAGGCTCATAGACATCTACATTTAACCTCGATTAAGAATCAAAATGCAGATGCGTTGTCACCCGTGAGGACTAAGATGGAATGCCCCGTTTCCAGTAAAAAGGGCATCCGGTTCTCTACACTCACCATAAGAAACAGCACCATCAAGCTGCTATTTTATGCCGGTATTCTGTGTGAGCGTGGTCCTTCCTCGGTCGAGCCAACCCTTCGTGCTACAACCATAATATAACTGCAGGGTGGCTCTACCACATAAAAAATCATCGTCATCATTGCAGCCTATAAAAAGTCCACTGCTGAAACATGGCCTCCCCCATAGACTACATCACAAAGAGGATATTTATTTTTATTGCCACGCCTAAGAGGTGGCGGAGTTGGTAGCTTTATATATTTTTAGATGTCCTGTTTCAACTCACATGTGTGTAACGGTACGTTTGCACTGTGAAACATCCAACACGTAATGTTTTGAAACAAATTGCATAAAATAAATCACACAACATGTTTTGTTGATGGTGGCGTTCGCACTCACAAAAACTGTGTAAAATTTTCAACAGATATTCAAAATTATCTTTCAACATGACAATATTTCTACAAATTTGTTTTCAAACATTTTGTTTCTGTAGTTATAAAGATATAATATAGTTAAAATATGTGATGTACAATAAACTGTCAAACATATTACACTACATGTTCTTTGACTATGTAAACGCTTTTTGATACATTGACAGAAAACAGTGTTTAAAACGTTCTTTTTGAAAATAGTGTCAGTGCAAACTCATGGTAACACAACTTAAACATAATGCTGCTTTATTTTATACTGTGACAAGAACCAGTGATCCTTTTAATAGAAACGAGACACATCTTTAGTCCTTATGGATGACAACGCATCTGTACTTTGATTCGTTATCAAGGATAGATGTAGATGTCTATAGTCTCTTTTGCCACCCCCATACTATAAAAAAACATTATATCTGAATCCTTCAAACAGTCATGCATCTGCATGGTATTAATTTGTTATTATTCAACAACACTGTATTTTTATTTGTAATAGAAGATATAGGTGTCTATGGGCTATATCCACCCACCATAATACAACAAAGTCCCGGAAAATATACAAGGTATCTCTATTACCAAGTTTAAGTATTTAATTAAACTAAAACTGTATAAAAAGGGTTATTATGATATAAATAAAAACATGTTTGGTAATACCGCCACTTGGAGGCGACCACCTCATTCCCAGGGGAATGAGGTGGTCGCTAGTTGTAAGTGGAGGTAAAATAAACTTTGTAAATATTTTATGACATTGTATTTTTTTTTAAAACTCCCGCTGGGTTTCTTTCAATAACTTGACTTTCAATAAGAATTACTTGTAATCTATATTGAATAAAAAATTATTTTATTCTAGAATAAAATACACACACTGTCCTTGTTATAGAATATTCTATTCCATAAGAAGGACAGTGTGTTTATTATTTATGCTTAGTTCTAATAAATTTTAACAGCCTCCATAACCGCACAGCTTAATATAGGCCTTTGGCCTTGTACGAGTAAATACGACTTCCGACCAAGCTACAGAAGTCGGTTTTAAGACCAAAGTGCTTAGTAGAAATTAATTCCCCAACTTCTGATGCTATCGTGTACGAGTTATTTTATTATTTTAAGTGCTTTCAAATCGGCTTTTACTTTTTAGCAAAGGTTTTTTTTTTACTTTTAAGTAAATTTAAGAATGCATAATTTCAAGGTAACCCTGAATCAGATGAAGCTGTAAGAGCAGCATAGGCTAACAGCACAAATATCACAGAAAATAGCTAACAATTAGAATGTCTTCCAAACAGTTACATTAAAATCTGCAGCTCCTATTTTCTACCCTTGGGGGTGATTTCTTTCTAAACTCATAGGGGACCAGTTTTGAAGTATAGCCTATTAAATTTTTCCATTGGATTAGAGCCACGCTGCAGCTATTATGGTTGTAGCATGAATGAGTCGGCTTAACCGGGGTAGGATCACGCTCTCACAGGATACCAGCGTAAACTAGCAGCTTGATGCTGCTGTGTTTCGTATGGTGAGTGTAGAGAACCGGAGACCCGTTTTACTGGAATCGAGGCATTCCAACTTAGCCCTTAAGGGTGACAGTATATCTGTATTTAAATTATTAATCGAGGTTAAATGTAGATGTCTATCTAGATGTGCTCGTTTGTCACCCTTATCCTATTAAAAAAAATCATTTAAATCGGTTGGTTTACAATCGACGAAGATTTCTGTTAACATCTGAGTTCGGCTAATAAAGTGTCTTTTATTGCTCAATAAATATAAACGCTGAGACAGACAATCAAATTAATACAATACTTGTGTTAGGCATTACTAGGAAGAGCGTGTCATCAAATCAGAGAAAGGTCCCAATACATAACAAACACTATTGAGATTAATGTGTTTATAATACAAACAACATTCACCTAATAAAGAAAATTTTGTGCAATTAACTTTAACGAAGCACTCATGCAAGTGAATTCCTGTGAAATATAATATTAAACCATAACTCCATATTGTGCAGTGGCAGAGTAAATATATGCATTCCTTTTTGCCTTTTTCATATATCTATTGCGTGTGATAAATGTATGAAATATTTATCAATTTTTTTTCGAGGTTTCTTTTTGGCTTCTAAAAATCTACTGCTGGATATGTTCTGTTGTAGGGAGTATTCTTGATACCCACGCCTGCAAGCAGATTTTTTTTAAAACTTGAAAAAGTCCCGCTAGGTTTTTTGCTGTTTCTTCCCAGAACAGAGGTTTTCTTCCGAACCATTAGTAAAAGTACAGAATGACTTCCAATTATAATTACATGTAATGTTTATTGAATAAACATTACATGTAATTCTAATTGAATGATTTTTCAATGAGGATTACTTGCTCCTTCCACTTGACCGCATCCAGCGCAGAGTGACTTGACTCGTCGACAACCGAGTCTTCTGCGATCGGCTCGATTCACTGGCGCTGCGAAGAGATGTTGCATTTTTTTACATTTTTTTCGCATCTACCACAGGGGGTGATCTGATGAATTGTTCGGATTAATTCCAGCCGCCAAATTTCACGAACGCACATCGCGACAAAACTCCTGATACCGTATACACAATCTAGATTTGATTCTTGGCGGTCCACCACGTAAAGGAAGAAAACTCCTAGTAAACGTACACGTTTTACTAGGAGTTTTCTTCCTTGTACGACCTCTCTATGGAATATTTTACTACCGGCGAGTTTTACGGACCGATACGACTCAGAGACCTTCAAAAAAGAGCTTACTCCTTTATAAAAGGTCGACAACGCATCTGTAATTCCCCTGGTGTTGCAGTTGTACATAGCCCCGTAGGCCGAGGTAGTCACTTACAATCAGGTAAGTATGTTCGTTTGCCCCCTCTCATCTAAAAAAACTTGTAATCTATAATATTGAATAAAAAATATTCTATTTCCCGCAGTTGTCTCTGACAGCCACAAATTAGGTGATGGGTTTTGTTACTTCACTTCCATCATAAGGCTAATTAAAAAAATACCAAACATTGCAGTATTAATTTGAAAAATACACAAAAGTCTTATCTTGTATTACCTTGGCACGCAAATAAAAAAACATTCATTACGAATTCCTTTATTAATAAAAAAATCATTCACTATTAATTCCATGACCTGTTATTCATTGGGTGAGACGTATGATAGCAACCGTTCATTTTCACCGTCCGCTGACTCCACATCCTCTCTATTGAAACGCGTTTGCCCTATCATAGGATCTCTTTGTACGTTCATTACTGCATAGTATTGTCCCAAAACATTTAGTGCATAAACTTCACTGATTTTTCCATTGATACGCCGCAGTAGGTCAGTATTTTAGTGTCTTTTATTTTATGAGATCTTGATACTACTATGGGGTGTAATTAGTTTTATGAAAGGAAGTACATTAAAAAAATTAAGTGTCTTTGTTTTTATATATAATGTATGTTCACACGTGGTATAGCCACGCTGCAGCTATATTATAGTTGCAGTACAAATGGGTTTGCTCGACCGGGGAAGGACCACGATGTCACAGAATACCAGCGTAAATGCTGCTACACTTTAGTATGGTGAGGGTAGAGAACCGGAGAACCTTTTTACTAAAAACAAAGCATACCATCTTAGTTCTCAGTGGTGACAATGAGAATATATTATACAATTTATATGGGCCATCACATCCACTTACCATCTATCCATCCACTTATCATCCATTCATGCCAGGACTATGTGTTAAAAGATAAACGTAATGTGTAATATGAGCCATGAGTTTTGATGAATTTTCGAGTGCCCTATACATTAAGTAGACGAGTAAAAAAATGTTTTTAATTTAAAATCGTGTCATAACAAATATATAACTAGAAGCTCTAACGCCGACACAAATAAAAGAAATAATGACCATCGCATGTATTAATAAAAACTGGTCTAAGCCGTTTCGTTGTGGGAAACATGGAAGGTGACCCACAAGGTCAGAGGGGCGTTATAACGATGACTACGAAATGATACCTAGAAAATATTATTTTTGCGAAACACGTATGCCTCAAAACTTGAAAACAAGATTGTACAACCAGTGCATGTAGCCCGTGATAACTTATGGATCTGAGACGTGGTGTTCAACTGCTGCCCGTATACGCAAGCTGAAGGTCGCTCAGCTAGCTATGGCGAGGGCTATGCTCGAGGTTTCCTTGCGTGATAAACCTAGAAGTGATGATATACGCTGTAGAACCAAAGTGACCGACATAACCCAACGGATTAGTAAGTTGAAGTGACTATGGGCTGGCCATATTGCTCGAAGAACTAACAATCGATGGGGAAGCAATGTTCTCGAATGGCAGCGTCGTACCGGCAGGCGAAGTGTCTGGACTACTTGCTGGAGTGACGACATGGTTAGTCATGCAGGAAGTCGATGGATGCCGGTGACTCGGGACCGTGCTTTGTGGCATTTCTTGGGTGAGGCCTATGTTATTCAGTGGGCTTGTGAAGGGCTGTAATTATGATTGTTGTGAAAAAATATTGTTGCGGTGGTCCGAAAGCATTATGCTCGTCATATATTTGGTGGTCAGAAAGCAACCTTAACACACCAACCCACTACTGAACATATATATATAATATGTCATGTGCACGATGACGACATAATAAAACATAGTGAAGAAACCAGCATATTTTAACCGACCGCAAAAAAGGAAGTACTCAATTCGGCTGTATTTTTTATGTGGGTTGTGGTTTTGTTGTTTTTTTGTGTGGTTTGGGGGGTTGGGCGCATGGTGGTTTTGTTCCCCTCTGTTACCTCAGAACTTTTTTCTAGGTGAACCGATTTTGATGATTCTTTTTATTTGAAAGCTAATGCTTTTCATGTAATCCCATAAAAGTTTGATCAAAATCTGACCAGTAGTTTGTGAGTTATCCTTAATAATGCGTTTGATGTTTCTTGAATTATTTGTATAATATCTGTGTAAGTACACACGACGGCATATTTTTATCAAGAGATTTTTTTAAATCAACACAACACGTGACAACTCTACAAGCGCCTAGCGAGTGACTGATTAATGTGCGGTGTATGCACCGCAATTGAGTGGAACAGAGTAGCTGAATGCAGTGTCACCTCTAGTACGTAGTTCATAATAGCTCAATGTTATTAATATATATTTACCAGGCTACCAGCTCAGCGACGAAGGTTCGATTCTCGCTGGCACAAACAAAATTGTTAATTGCAATCTTCAGTGCTGACTTACTACGGGCTAGTCGGTGTAGGAAACCATCGCGATAAAACCTGCATGTCTGAGAAATAAAAAAATATATATCGAGGATATGTGACACACGGCAGACACTGACCTGCCCTCGAAACCCTATCAGAAATGAGAGAAGGCTATAACTTTACTTTTATGCGTGTTACTTACAACTTTTATACTTATTTTTTGTGGTAGAACTATGCTGCAGTATAGTGTAGTTGTAACGCGAATTGATCAGCTCGACCGGAGAAGGATAATGTTCTCACAGAATAACAAAGTAGTAGCTTAATTCTGCTCTGTTCCTTATGGTGAGTATAGAGGACCGATGACCTTTTTTAGCGAAAACGAGACATTCCATCTTAAGCTTCATGGGTGAAAATGTATCGACATTTTGATTCAAAGCCGATGATAGATGTAGATGTCTATGGGCCACAGCATCCACTAACCATCCAGTGAACTGTGTGTCTATTATCAGCCTTATTCTATAAAAAAATATGTTACATTATATTCGTGTATGTCTTTACACTAGTTTTAAATTATAATACTTACAATATTAAAAGTAAATTTCGACGTTAAAACTTTTTTTAGTAAACAGTAAGTCTTCTTCCGCAACAACATAACAAATTGCCACCAAAATTAGTGTAAATACAGCCATTAGAGATCTATCAAGCTTAGTTTACTACAGTATAAAATTAATTAAATATTTTCATAAAGTATAAAACTATAACTATATTCGTACCATGCATAATATATACTTTTATAAGCGCCATGTAGTACAAGACATCGGCACTTTTATTCTTAATTGATGATAAACATAGGAGTCTATGGACCCTGATGATGCTGAATAGCGGCAGCGTGTGAATATTCACTACCCTACAACATCTTTTTGATGACAACCGAAAATTATTTAAAACTACGATTGACAACCCGTCCGCCAAGCATAGTCTCCTTAGAGGCTGGCCGCCGTGACAGAAACTCGGTCTGGAGGATATGATTATTATTAAAGCTATGCTGCAGCTATATTTTATATAGCTGTAGCACGAATAGGTTGCCTCGACCGGGGAAGGACCAATCTCTCACAGAATACCAGCGTAAAATAGTCGCTTAACGCTGCTGTCTTTCTTATAGTGACTAGAGAACCGGATACTCTTTTTGCTGGAAATGAGGCATTCCATCTTAGTCCTCAGCGATGACAACACATCAGCATTTTGATTCGTATTTGAGGACAGATGTTGATGCCTATGGGCCACAGCAACTACTTACCAACAATCAGGTGGACTGTGTGCTCGTTTGTCACCCTATCCTACAAAAAAAAAGTATGGCAATAATGAGGCAATCTATTGGAGGTACCTACTCGTATTTTCAGCAAAGGAATTTGAAAGGCTGTGATGAATGAACGATGTATGACTTTTTGTGATTTTTAAAAGCATTTTTTTTTAATTTTAAAGAAGTTTTCTTTTGTTTCAGATTGGTCAAGTTATTTTACCTACGAGGAAATACATAACAATACAAATTATGTCCAAACACGTGGAACGGGCCAGCCATACAACACACTACCTAATTATAACTTTAACAGTAACTATAGAAGTAGCCAAACCCACCATAATATAGAGGAAGCCAAAGATAATGATATAGGGGAATATAATGGCCTGCGAGCTAAGGATCAATTACTGGTGGGGTTTTCACATAATCCTTATAGATATTCAGTACCAGAGGCTGATTATCTAAAAGGCGTGAGGTAAGTTACGAGCAAGATTTTTACTGTGGTACGACTCCTTTTGCCTAGGATTCCAGTTGTGTAGATACGATCTTCTTGGCTTAGTGGTAGAGCTACGCTGCAGGTACATAATGGTTGCAGCATGAATGAATCGGCTCAACCGGGGAAGGACCACGCTCTCAGAGAATACCAGCGTCTTAATACTACTGTGTTTCGTATTGTGAGTGTAGAGATCCGGAGACCCTCTTTTACCGGAAACGAGGCATTCCATCTCAGTCCTCAAGGCCGACAACGCATCAAGGTTTTGATTTGTAATCGAGGATAGACGTGGATGTCTATGGGCTACAGCATCCACTTACCATCAGGTGGACTGTGTGCTCGTTTCTCACCCTATTTCTATAAAAAAATCCATTTGAGTCGTCAGAGGTGACAACACGACCGTAGCTTTCGTTGTTTGCAGGTGGTTGCAGATGTCCATGTACAGCAGTAGCCATTTACCATCAGATGGATTGTGAGTTCGATTGTCACCTCAGTTTTATTTAAAAAAAAGATAGCTGTAATGTCATTTATCATTTCCCCCTTATGACGCCAGTTGGATTTAGATATTAATATACAATATGTAACGTAATTAACGCACACCCTCAGACACCCCAATTAGTATATTATGTTATAATCATAATACATACTCTGAATTTTTAGTTAAACATTTTTATGCACTGATTATTTATCAAATTAGTTATACTAATTCCGGAAGAATGTTGTGGTCACAGTACAAATCCACGAACGCAAAGACTTTAACGTGCTTGAAATAAAGTTCATTTTTCTTTATTATTATTGAATGACAGAATTAGTATTAATACAAATAAAACTGCACTCTTAAAAGTCATATTGCCTTAAGTTACGGTCCATTTCAGTTTGTTTTGACTGTACAGATTTAGTGTGACTGTAATTTACGTAGTTTTAATTATTTTTGGGATAAAAAATTACCTATATTAAAAATGATAGGAATCGATTCAGTAAACGATTCTGAACAAAGTACTTTCTCAAAGTGCGTTATTACGTGTTGTATAGATAGTTGTGATGGTAACTGTCGGGTGAGGGGTAGCTGATTCTATCCTGCACTTTCCCCCTTTTTTTAAAGAGCCGTGGTAGCCTTTCTAATATTCGAAAGAAAAAATCAACACTATGCTAGAAATATACAAGTGCTATATTATAAGCTACACCTTACACTTTACAATCTTTTGATAATGTGTACCCATAGCTAAAGTTATAATTTAATTAAAATAGCAAGGATACAATAGCTTTCAAAGCTGCGTGCATTTCACAGTTAATACATTATTTACATCAGAATGCTAATAGCTAGACTCGATTAAAATAATTATATTTCTCTAGTATATATTATAAGCAATCCACGGACGTTAGGGTGTTACCACACTAATCAATCAATCGTCGATCGATGGCATCGATCGATGTTGGAATCGATTAGGCGACGTCCATCGACTTCTGCTTGATTATTCGAGAACCCACCCCTCTCCACCGACCGCTCCCTATTATCCTCTTTTGACATCTGACATTTCGAAAGATACTGATGATGAGCCCACCACTACTACTGATGATTGAAGAATGTTTTATCGATCGACGTCGATCAATGGCATCGATCGACAATCGATCGATTAGTGCGGTAACACCCTTAAGCGGTCTATGATTAGAGAAATTATTATTCTTATCGACATTTTTATTCCTTGACCTTGACAGTTACGGACATTTGACATTTCCTTTATACATTTTTATGTTAGAGTTAGAGTAAATTATTTGACTAGTGGAAGTTGTAACATTTTCCCGTTAGAACTTTGTCAAATAATAATTGTTAAAAAATTCCAGGGATATAGACCCTAGCAGATATACAAATAAGAATGAGAATCGTGGGAAACGAGGAGTGTTCCACTTGTACAATATGATTCTCTGCGCGACAGGCTGCGAACCCTTAGCTTACAAGGGATACGGGTGTTACTGCGGCTTCTTGGGCTCTGGGCGGCCAACTGATGGGATAGACAAGTAAGTTGTATACAATGATTTTTTTATTTACGCGAACACTACACATTGAATAAAACTATTTTAATGGATTTTTTTTTAATTCCGGTTTCACACGGTCACTGTGACGTAGCTGTGCTGAAGCTCGGCGGCCAGGTGTTTGCTGTCACAGATTCCTAGTGTTCTCTGTAACAAAGATTTACCCACGGTACCTAACTGTGAAGTATGATCATTGATCACAAATCCTCGCGAAATAACATCGATCCCTACAAAGGTCAAACTTTAAAGTTACAGTATGTATACGTACTATATACGTCCCACTGCTGGGCACAGGCGTCCTCTTATTTCTGAGAGGGTTTTAGGGCAAGGAAGTGTCGCAACCGCACTGCGCTGCTCCAATGCGTGTTGGCGAACTTCATATGTCTTCGAAATATTTTTTTCTTATTTCTCAAACTGGCCTACGATGTTTTCCTTCACCGCCGAGCACGGGGTAAATCAGCACTTAAAATTGCAATTAACGGTTTCATTGGTGCCGGCGGGGATCGAGCCCAAGTTACTCGCGTTCTGTGAAATTTACAGCGAGCGCTAACCATCTGAGCTACCACAACTCTAACTTAGTTATAAATAATTTAATACGAACAAAATGTGAGTGAGTGAGTGAGAGACTTGAATAATATAATTCTTCCCCTTCCTCATGTTACTTAACACAATTATTTTCTTCTTAACCTTTACCCATTCTCTTTTTTAAGTTGCTGTCGACTGCACGACGAATGCTACGAGAACATCTATTGCCCCTTCTTCACTGTATATTTCCAGCCGTATTATTGGAAGTGCTATCGGAATCGGCCGCTTTGCGCTCTAGAGAACTACCAGACCAGAAATCAGTTCATTAACGGGTGCGCGGCGAGTCTCTGCGAATGTGACAGACAATTTGCAATGTGCGTAAAAAGATACTCATGTCCCAGGAGTCGAGCTCTCTGCCACTCTTCACCGTTAAGACTATTGCAAAATATATTAATGTTTCGCTAAAAGTAATGACGAAACTGTAAAATTTCAAATTTAAAGGTGACTAGTAAAAGTGATATTCTTATATTTTTTACTATATTTTCTTGAAATCCCCTAGCTAGTTTCGCTATACTTGTGAAGTTCAGAATTGATCTTCCGCAAGATATACAACCTTTTTATTACAATTTTTATATATATATATATATATATATATATATATAAATTACGTGTCACGTTGTTTGTCCGCGTGGACACCTACTACAACTACTTAACCGATTTTAATCAAATTTGCACACCGTATGCAATTTGGTCCAACTAGAGAGATAGAATAGTTTTTTGCCCATAAGTGACACACGATTTTTTTGCGAATTTAAGGATTTTTAATAGGATATGACAAAGGGTCGTCGAAAAGGGCAAAAGCTAGTATTATAGAGATACATGTTTATTTGTCAATTTTTAATCATTGAAAATCGTGATTCTGTTTCGGATACATTTGGTCATGTTACATTTTTTGTCTGAGGCTATGTCGTGGTAAATCTCAGGTATTAGCGCTGCCACAAATCTATTAAAAAAAAGATTTCTCATTGCCATTAATATTCAACTACAACGTGGTTACTTTTATGATTGCTGTATTGCCATTCAACAACAATGCTACTGTGGTATTAGATATGTACAAGATACAAATGCACAAGTGACCAATGTTATCTGTGTTCATTTTTTATTGCATCTTAGAATTTTAGTAGTTTTTGTAAAAAAAAATCTATTGGGAATTTAATAAGAATATTAATAATAATATTAGAATTAATATTGATTGAACAGGAAAAATTGGCCGCTTATTATTTACAAATATTACTTATAGACTAACATAACTCATTAGATTAACATAGTTGTTTATAAATAAAATAGATTGAATTAGGTTATAATGTATAAAGCCATGTAAATAAAGTCTTAATTATAATTACGAATAAAAATATGCAATGGATAAATATATTAAAATCTAAAATAAAATAAACTTGTTTATTATTTTACCGCCTAAGTATTGCAGGATTTTAAATTTATAAATGCTGTTTACAAGAGTTCTACTTTTACTGTAGGTACAACCAAAACATTTAAATTCATTTAATGTCTTGATCTAGTTTATTAGAGTACATTAACCAGCTTTTACTCAACCCCACTCCCAGCCGGCTTCAGTGTTCGTGCAAAAAAGTTAATGTTACAGCCTATAAACATCCCACTACTGGGCACAAACCTCCCCTCATTTCTGAGAGGGTTTTAGGACAAGGAAGTATACGCCAGGCTGCCAAAATGCGTGTTGGCGAACTTCAAGTCTTGAAATTTTGTTTTTTATTAAATTTCATGCAAGTTTCCTCAAGATATTTTCCTTCACCACGTGGTAAATCAGCGCTTAAAATTGCAATTAATAATTTCAATGGTGTCGGTGGGCAACGAACCCAGGGGTATTATGCAAAAAAAATTATTAGTTTTCGATTTAAGCGTTGCAATATTTAAAGTGCATTCTAGACTAGATTTGAATAGTGTTGCCCAAAATCGGTCTTGGTCTTGAGTCTTGTTCTTGCATTTTTGCAAGACCAAGACCAAGAACAAGACCGCCTAATTTTAGCAAGACCAAGACCAAGACTGACCGTGCAAGATTTGAGCAAGAACAAGATTAAGCCTGCGAGACTCTTGCGTCTTGCAGTTAGGAATGAGTATCGTTTCAGGGAGTATAGGAGTTCGGGTATACGCTTAGGGACTCTATGAGGCGCAAAAAATATATAAAAAAATTGGAAAATTGGACTTATGCGCATTACGAACAATACCATAAACATACATAGCGGATGAAAATATCCATTAAAAGAAAAAACAGTGCATCCCTAGTTTTGACCATCGGCACTTTGATAGCGCGCGGCGTCTTGTTGTCGGCATCATCAAAGGTGTCGAATACTGACCTGTCAAAGAAATTTTGCAGCTAATCGGTAGTACAAGGCCAAGATACACGCGCCGGCGGCTTCAATTGATATCGCATTCAATCGTCACCGCCGCGCCGCACGCACTACATTTCACACTGTTTGAATGCCGCCAGAGAGTACATGTTCCAAAGAATAAAATAAGTTTCCGGGTGCTCAGAATGGACACGAATACATTATGCTGATCTCGCAAGGAATATTGTAATTAGATAATGGTAAGGATAGGTAGATACCATAATAATTTATTCTAGTAAGTAATTATTATAATATTAACTATATGGGTCTATAATAATTACTTACTATTATTATTATTACCTAATAGATAAACATGTTCAATAAGTTCACTGGAAATCTCGATTTTTTGGAAGTGTGTGTTTTTGAACACAAAGTGTTCGAATATGTCGTCACCCATTTGATAAATATTGTAGACACTTTAAACACACTTGAAACGTGTAAACATTTTGTACAATGCTAATCGAATAATATAAAAAGTGTGCAAATTAAATAAAAAGGGTAAAATAAGATATATGTACTTTTTAGGAGCCCGAGTATCTCTTAGAGAACCGTTTAAAGAAATTGATTGCATCGAATTGATGTAAATAATAGTGATTTGCACAATTTTAATAGTACAAATAAAAATAAAATCACAATACCTGCTTTCCGGTTACACAAAGTATATAATGCGTTCTTGGGTAGCGATATACGCTTTTATAATAAGATTCCAAAAGAAATGTTAGATCTTTCACCTTTTCAATTTAAGTCAGACAAAAATGCTTAGAACTGATCTCTCGTACTACACAGGACTAACTAGAAATTTCTAAACCGATTTGGTATCTACTTTTTACTTTTTTACTTATCGCTTTACATAATTATAGAACTATTGTAAAAATATTTTGAAAAGAGCAACTACTGAGTTTCTTACTTTCTTCCATGATTCTTCTCAGTAGAATCAGAACTTCTGAACATGGAAAAGAAAAAATTGGGGAAAACAGTGATTATATGACTATTCAAAACTGTATTTTTAATTCCTACTTGAATAAAACATATTTGAATTTTGAATTTCAAACGAGTGAAGGCAAATTTAATTTAATTATCGTAGATTAATTCAATCACAAGAAGAACATAATATACACAATTTTATTTACATATTTACATTTCATTTTTACGTAGGCACACAATACCTATCTGGCAACGCATCTACTTTATTAATCTTCTGAAGAATCATTAATTTTATCAAAGGATGCCGAACTTTCCTTTGTAGGTCTTTCGGCGTGTACTTAGAAATAGTAGTATTTATTTTAATTCCAGTCATTCCCAATTGAGCTTTGCTTCGAGTCTAATGTATTAATTTTTTTTACTCTAATCCTTGTTCTTCTCGGAGTGATAAGTTTACAATTTGACATGAGTGACGAAAACTCGAATAGTTATGTTGTCAACTTTTGACATGACATTATGGGGGAAGCAAATTAAAACAGAAAGCCTGCGCAAATTTAATGAACTTTATAAAGAATATAAAAGTCTACACTCAGTGAATACATCTCTAGAATCACCAAGAAATGAAAAGAAAGTATGTGAATATGATGAAGATGAAGACGTGATAGACTTTGAGAAATTGTATGTATGTCCCTCGACGTCATCTGGATCTGGATCTTTTCATCAAAGCTTAGTTATAGACGAGTTGGAGGAGTGCCTAAGTAAACCCAGAGCCGCCAGTTCGGAAGACATTTTAGAGTGGTGGAGGACGCATGAGACAGAATATCCGACTTTATCGAAGATGGCCCGTGATTTTCTTTCAATACCTGCAACTTTAGTACCTGCTGGGAGATTAATTTCTAAAGCATCATTAGTAATTAGAAAACATAGAAATAGGTTAAGTCATGGGTCAGCCAGATGGTTACTTTTTATTAATTCTTGGTCAAAATAATTAATATAAAGTAACAGTAATGTCAAAGCTGTTGTGTACTGTTATGTAATTTTATTTGTATTGTATTTTATTTTTTTTATTTAAATAAATGGTAAATTGTATAACTCTTTTATTCCATTTCATATAAGGGTCTATCAATCTCTTTCTAGACAGATAATGTTCTTTATAATACAGTCAAGTTAATGTCATTAATTTGTTTTTATATGTTTTGACTAAGTTTTAGCACATGTAAGCTTAATAAATGTAAACGTTTATTAAGAAACAGACTAACTCCCGTGGCCGTGAGACTTGGTAGACAGCTCAGTTGGTTAGAGCATCGGCACGGATCGCTTAGGTCGTGGGTTCAAACCCCACCCGGTATTAGTTGATTTTTCGAATTTCTCATTAAATGTTTAGACATTTATTAATTTGGATGGTCTTTCTATGGCTATGTTAATTCAAGCTCAAAATGTGCCTACTCTGTTAAGTTCTAAGATCTAAAGCAACGTTTAAAAATAACAATAGGCTAATAAGTAATTGCGAGACTTGCGAGGCTCTTTCTGCAAGACCAAGACCAAGAACAAGACTGAGAGCGCAATACCAGGTGTATTGGCGCAAGACCAAGACCAAGACTGGCTAAGTCTCGTCTTGTTCATGCATTTGGGCAACACTAGATTTGATATAGTTTAGTCGTTACATCGGGCACGGGTAGACCGGCACCAGCAGCCACATAGGGCATAAGTGTAATATACATTTAATCAACCTTTTTTGCAAGTTGACTCTATAATTTAATCCTATTTTCTAGGACAAAATTCCATCATCTACATAACAAGTTATTACTGCGTGCCCTAGATGAAAACAAGATTCAAAGGAGTTTCGTTTATCCACCAACCTTGACACCAACTATCTATAAGATGTAATTTATCCGTACATATAAATATAATAATAATTGAGGTCATCATCATCATTACATCTCTTCATAAGTCCACTGCTGAACATAGGCCTCCCCCAAGGTATGCCACAAAGCACCGCCTTGAGTCACCTACATCCATCGACTTCCTGTATGTCTTACTAGGTCGTCACTCCAGCTAGTGCGGAGTCATTCAACAATTCGCCTACCGGTACAAGGCAGCCACTCGAGAACCTTTTTTCTT